CGAGAAGTTCATGACCAGATGCGGTACTGTATGCTCAACTTGCCAAAGGATCCAAAGGATAGCTTGGAGAGATGAGATTGTTTTTTGATGTTTATTGTTTCTATATGTTTCTATGCTCCAAGAAATTTCTCAGCCACTCAGCCACGCCTTGATAGGCCACCCCAGACCATGGCTGGCAAAGCTTTATCCAGCCGATGGGGCAGGCTGGCAACCAAAGATGGATTCATTTTAGGAACAGTAATTGGGTGTACCACCAAAAAACAGGGGAAAACATGGAAAAAACATAGACAAAGATCAATTTGGGATAGAATCAATGTGGTTTGTGATGTCTTTTTTGTGTTTGTGATGTTCTTATCTACCATTTGGATCCCCCTTACCATTTCCACTACTAAAAGGGTGAACACGTGCTTGGTACCATCCTCTGATTCGTGGATAATTCAAGCAAAAAAAATGGACCCGTGCACCAGTTTTTGTAGTAAAAGGGTGTGCACTGTATCTTGTAGCGGCGTTCCATTTTGCACTCATAAATCGGAAACGCATTTTGTAGTGATTTATTTTGGGATGCGTTGTGTCGTGCCGGAAACCCTATAGCCCTCTTTTACCAGTCATGCTCGGTCACATGAACATATAGCTTGGACCCTCAGACCATTTTTGGCTCTTGACTCACGATTATTTCGTGGTAAGATGAGCCCCCAAAAAATCGAAAAAAAAACAAATAAGGTAGAGACTTTAAGACGGAAAAATGGGACAGACTTGGTTTCAAAACCCATCAATTGAATTTGAAGTTGTGCGCTCAGATCGTTTTTAGCTCTGACGATTGCAGTTCAAAACCTCTGCGCCGTGCTTTTGTCACACCTTTTTTGGCCATCACATGCGATTATTACTTAAAATCTAAATCTATCCCATTCTACTAGGTTCCTGCTCTTTTTGTCCAATAGTCAAGTTTCACCCAAGTTCAACGAATCCATGCTCAGAGTTCCTTTCACCCACAATGTCACAAAGCACAGATTCGATGCGTGGTGTCCTAGTTTCTGGATGACTTGTGTCATGCACTGCATTTTGTAGTGACACACGCGTGCACAACCTTTTGTAGAACCTTCTGCGCCCCCCTCCAGACAAGCCCCAAAAAGTTCGAAAAGCATGCTTTTTATGTAGAGGCTTTAAGAAGGAAAAATGGGACAGATTTGGTTCAAAACCGATCAATTGAATTTGAAATTGTGCGCTTAGATCGTTTTTGCTGCCCCATAGCTCTGACGATTGCAGTTCAAAACCTCTGCACCGTGCTTTTGTCACACCTTTTTTGGCCATCACATGCGATTATTACTCAAAATCTAAATCTATCCCATTCTACTAGGTTCCTGCTCTTTTTGTCCAATAGTCAAGTTTCACCCCAGTTTAACGAATCCATGCTCAGAGTTCCTTTCACCCACAATGTCACAAAACACAGATTCGATGCGTGATGTCCTAGTTTCTGGATGACTTGTGTCATGCACTGCATTTTGTAGTGACACACGCGTGCACAACCTTTTGTAGAACCTACTGCGCCCCCCGCCAGATAAGCCCCAAAAAGTTCGAAAAGCATGCTTTTATGTAGAGACTTTAAGAAGGAAAAATGGGACAGATTTGGTTTCAAAACCAATCAATTGAAACTGAAGTTGTGCGCTCAGATCGTTTTTGCTGCCCCATAGCATTTCCCCTAGTAAATGCTATGACCCATTTAGTAGCGAATCATTATTTTTCATTGCAACCCGTTTTCACTACAAAATGGTTCCGTAAAGTGATTTTGTAGCGACCGACATTGGCTTTTGATCCATCATAAAAACACCCAAACCATTTTGTAGCAAGGGGGGTTGGTTCAGATTCAAGCTTCATTTTGTAGTATAAGGCTGTGTTTGTAAACGGTTTAGTGGGCACAACTTCTCTGCAGAATGCACACAGGGATCCATTTGGGAAGAACCAGTTGCTTAAACGATACAGTACTAACAAGAAAAGTTTTCTTATACTATATTGACAAGTTGTTCTATTTGGACCATTACGGGTACAAACAAATAAATTTTAGGTACAACCTTGTTCTACCCTCGATCGTGGCGGGGTTTGACTGAACCTGCTTTTTGTAGCCTGCGAATACCTCAGACTCAGAATCTCCAGATGATTCATCACTGAAAGTAGTTGTAGGATTATGAATGATATGACAAACTCATTCTGGAATTCTGGTACCTGGGATGTCCAGAGTAGTTCAACCATTTTTAATCAGTTTTGACCCATTAATTCATATTCATATAAAACATGCTTTTCATCATGATTTAGGATGGTCACATATGTTATACTGGTTGGTGGTTTGGAACATCAATTTTATTGTTCCATATATTGGGAATGTCATCATCCCAAGTGACGTTCATATTTTTCAGAGGGGTAGGTATACCACCAACCAGATTAATTGATAGTTAATTAAAGAATATTAAGATGTTTAAACCACTGAATATTAATATTAAGATGGTCACATATGTTATATGTCCATTGATCACATTTTGAATCAATGATGCTTTAGGATGTCCATGATTGATGATCTTCCAGTGGCAGGTCCCACTGCATCGCCTTCCAATCGGTCGTGGCCAAAGTGGCTGGGCGAACTGCAGCCTTCAATGACTTGAAACGATTAGGAAGTTACTTTCAAAGCAGGGGAAAACTAGCTGTAGAACTTGGAAAATATATATATATATAAATTAACTAGGAAAATGGGATGTTGAACCAGTTAAAAGCCTGGAACTTTGGCCGGAAAAGAAGAAAACGATAAGGCAGCTTCAATCAATGGGATGGTGGCCAGCGTATTCCGGATGGATTGAATTTGAATGATCCGGACTTGAAGATATATAATATTAAAATATATTAGATATTCATAGATGTACAAAGTCCATACATTGAACTTACACTGGCCTGATCATTCTACAAACCCTTTGAAATCTTTACCGTAAATCTCAGATCCGTGATGCTTCCCAGAAGTGGTTGAAGGGAAACCATGAAAACCAAAAGCAAACCAGCTAAGAACCTGTGTTGCCGATGTCCCTCAAACCAATCTATTGATCATCAATGATCATCATATTGGGTCATTCAAATCATTTCAAATCCCCAATTTTGAGGGGTCAAATACCCAATGAACTCCGTGAATTCTCACAGGGCCCGGGCTCTGGCGCCTGAGGTCAATCGAGGACAGGCTGCAAGACGTGGTCGTGCGGAGCCTTGAGAGTGTCTTTTTGGGAGATCTGTTGGCGGTGGCGAGGCTATGCACAATCAAGGTCCGCCTGTTTGGGCCTTGATACCCTCTGATCATCAATTCACCTCGCTATGTAAATCATCATGTTTGCCAGCTAAATCATCATCAACCATGGACCAGTTTCCATAGTTATGCAGCTATGATAGCGTACTGGAGGAGAATATGTACACTGCAGATTTGCAGATGTATCAAGAACTACTGGGTAATGCGCGAGACCCAACAATAAACCACCATAATCCGCATAATCGGGGATGGTTTAACCCACCCATGGTAAAATTGGGAATATTTGATTGTTGGGTTTGCCACATTATGATACATCATGGCTGTATGGCTCTGAAATTGGGTGCTAGAGGGGCTGCAATTTCTTTGCACCTGGACTCCAGACAGCATAGAGCTTTTCTGAGAGTTCTGCCTGTGGAAAAGGGAGGTTCTCACCTTTTTTTCTGATGCCAAGAGGATAAGATAAGAGGGATGCTTGAGTTGTAGCCACTTTGCATTTCGTTCTTGACCAAAGAGCAATTTCTTTGCAGCAGCGAGCTTCTCAAGTTTGGCTAGGACTATATCGCTGAAAAAGACATACATGTTTCCCTCAACATCCCTCAACCAATTATCTCAGTATGTTTGGGCAATGTAACGTGGTTTTTCCCGTCTAAAACTGGGATCAATTGGTGTTTCAGGTGCAAATCCAGGGATTGTTAGTTCTATAAGTAAACCTAAACCCTGAAAAAAAACATGATTGGCTGACCACAAAAGCCCCGGATGTTGCAGCGGATGTGAAGACAGCAAAGTTCTGTCGCTATTCTGAAGCTCGAGGCACGAAGATTTAGCTTTGCTTGGATGGTCGAAACCGACTCCAGGGAAACAGTTTTGAAGAAGCCAACCGATGTACAGCGCACAGTATAAAATCTGGTGTTATATATATATATATATATGTGTGTGTGTTTGTGTGCCATTGGTCCAAACATGGATTGAAAACTCAACATATTGGGAGATGGTCAATCCATAGGGATTCCCTGGCCCAACATGGGATGGATCAAGTGGAAAAAGGCCATTTTTTCATGTTCCATGATTTAAAAGATCAAGTGGCTTAATGTGGCTTAAATGGACTTCAGACATGATATTTCCATTTGTTGTCCATAATATTATTTATACATAATAATATATATATGTAGAAATATTCATACTAGCCAGAAGTCAAATTAACAATCACCATTACCCAGTTCTAATGATTTAGAATTGACCTTCAACTAACATCAATTGCCCTTCGGTAATCAAACATGGCAATCGTAAATCTCCCATCAATGGGCATTTCACCGGACAGCGTAATCTATGAACGGGGGATGTTCTGTACAGTTGCCATGTTTGAATACCAGAGGTAATCAGGTCGTTCTTTTCCTTTGGCAATTCAACAGAGCTACGGAACATCACTATTTGCAATAGGTAGCTATGTCAGATTACCGGAGGGTATCCCCATTATTGGGAGATGTCATCCCCAAAAAGATGCCTTTGTGAATCTTCACTCAATGTTCTAATGGCTTTTGTTCGAATCTTTACTTTCCATGTAGTTCATGGCTTTTGGTGCTATATTACTATTGCTATATCTATATTAGTTGATGAGTTTTGGTTGCTTTTTTGGTTGCTTTTTTGGTTGCTATGTTCTATCCTTTTTGGGGATAGCCTCCAAAATAATTAACAGCTCGACCCTGCCAGGGTTGCCAGGCATGGTGGCATGGACCTGAGACGTGCCAAACATCCCGCGGGCCGGCGGAGACTCGGTGAGAAAGCTGGAGACTTCCAGGATCACCAGAAATCCCATGCTTTGCGGAGATCAATACATAAATAAAATAAATAAATAAATATATGTTATATAGTTATATATATAACATATATATATATAACACACATATATATATATATATATACATCATACATATGTGTGTGTTATATAATTTATATTATTATTATATTTATATTTATTTACAACACACACACAAATGATGCATGAATGAATCTGTGCTGTTTGGCGATCAGGGGACCTTTACTTAAACCACGAAACTATGCACTACGGGCTGAGCCCTGTTGGTTGATGATTCTATGGGTTTATGGTTTATACTATCCAATTTTGTTCCATCTATGGGAAATCTTTCTGGAAATCTGGAAATCTACACAGACTTAACTTCAAACAGTTTTTTACAAAGGATGAGGGTTTTGAAGACATTTTTTAGATGTTTCATTGCTTCATTGTTCAAAATTTCTTCGCATGACAAGCCTTTTGGAGGTCCTACCCAGGTGCCCCGACTAGACCCGACTAGACCCGACTCAGGATCAACTTCTATCGCACCGAGGCTGTGCGGTTTCGTTTCAAGAAGCCCCAGCTGGTTGATGTTGTAGAGGGTTCTACTACCCAATAGATTATCTTCCAACAACAGCTGGGTAGTAGAACCCTCTACTTGATTCCAATTTGCTGTTAGTGATAGAGGGTTTCCAATACATTTCTTATTGTTGTTTTTTGTTTGATCATCCATTATCTTGTTTTTGTTGTTGTACAAGGATAAGGATGTAGAGAAACATGAAACAACGTATGTGGGAGTGTTGAAACAATAAGTTACTCGTGCCATTGATGGGATGATCATCCCATTTGTCCTGAGTTAAAGCATGAGAGTGCCATGAGAGTGCTCACTGTACAGGAATTCAGGGACTGCAATTCGACATGGCAATGAAAGATCTAGCATTCATAGATACTATTTTGCTTCTAGAGTTCATTTGAATTATTAGCTTACAGTAGAATTCATAGTAACTCTTGTTGATTATTTGATATTTCCACACTTATTATAGTAACCAGATGCACTCATGTTATTTGATGATTATGTCATATTAGGATATATTAGGTCTAGTAATTGTAATGTTATAGGAACCTTACAATGTTGATATTTGATGGCCATGCAGTCCGGTTTTCCACGTCCCAGGCAGACTGGAGCGAAGAGTGGGGACCTCACTGGCCGTTGTTGTCGCTCGTGGTCGCTGCTGAAATCGCTGCCAGGGTCTGATGTGTAAAATGTTGATTTTTGACCATGAAACATGGTGGATCATGGTGGTTTTTTATCGAATCTGAATGGGAATACCACCGGATTTTATATAATGGGAATATACCTTTTGGTAAACGCTTTGCCGTTGAGAGATGGATGATTTACTGCTGCAGAGAGTATCTCGCAGTCAGGACCCGTCCCACTGAAGAGTTGGTGAAGTCTCTGCACGACGGCTGGACACGAAGACCCACTGCATGGACATCCGCGGCATAGCTGTTCCATGGGATTTAGCCACCAAATATTGGGTGTCACCATCATATGGGGGTATCATTGGGATCAATATGGGGTTTTACCAGCAAAATCTTTGGATATCTTGGGTATAACTACTTATATTGGACATATAATGTAATCCGATTTAGTCTTCAGTAGACAAATTCTCGGATGGACAAAAATTCTCTCGAATTCACCGACGGTATTCTCCGGTGGAAAATCAAACGTGGCCAGCTGCAAAAAGTTCCATTTATACAGGATGGTGCCCCCCAGTTATAAGTTGGTTTATAAACCCCATTAACTATAGTTATATCATCCATAAACCATAGGTTTAATGGGAGTTATGTTCACCAACTTATCTAACTATGGGGCACCACCTAAAAAGTGGATTTTCAGTTGCCATGGAAATGATGACCTTTTTGGAACCCATCTACTGTACCGGGAATCTACCGGTTACCGTTAGTTTATTGGAGGCTATGGGTGTCATTACCCTCTGGTAATTTAACATAGCTATTGAAAATAGCCATTTATAGTGGATTTTCCCATTAAAAATGGTGATTTTCCATAGCTATGTTAAATTACCAGAGGGTAGTTTGTTTTTTTTTGTGGACCAGAACTACTTTTTGTATGTTGATTAAAGTTGCCAAAACATCCTACATGAATAAGGACACTTATTCACCCCCACAAAAAAGGCACAGTCACTGTATTTCGCGCGGTTCACAAAAACATAAGAACAACAAAGACAATATCTCCACACGATTTGATCATCGTGATATTTGCGTTGTATGTTTATCCCTTTCCTCCCGGGGATCCATATTTGATATCAAAGATCTCAAGGATCTCAACTGATTGGTGGTTCCCGACATCATTTATCCCTGTTAGGCATATATTGATTAGTAGTTTCATTATGTTTCATTGTTCTTTGTTCACTTTCCAGCCCCATTTGGGTTGGCCATTCCTGATTGACTGACTCACATTTCTTGATCTTTCTGTTGTGCCTATGCCCCTGTGGGACAATGAACTACTCGCCGTAGGACTCGCTTGCTTACTCTAGATCGCAGGGATGCTTGGAGGGTGGGAGGGTGGGTCTATTTTAATTTACCAGCGAGGCTATTCACTTGGTCATTTGGTCACCATCTCCCCATCTGAGCAGCCATGTGAGCTCGGCTCTTCCCTCCCCTTGTCAAATCATGATTGTAAGAGTGGCACACCCATCGGACCCACATTTGTTCGACCATTTGAGATATTTGAGGGGCTTCATGCCAGTCTCCTCCGTTTTTGGACCATGAGAAACATTTGTTCCCTATTTGTTGATTGATTTCGTGAAGGGGGTAAGCCTTATCGTTTCACAACCAACAGACAAATGATAGGAAGTGTTGTACCGGTCCCTTTTCTTTCACAAAAGGGTGGATAGGTCAGGTGTCTAAATTGGGATACCAACAAATGTGGCAATCCTTGGTCCTTGGTATTGAATCATCCGTTTGTTAGGCCAATAGTTTTGAATGGATTTAATTTGACCCATGTTACCAAATATGATTAGGGCTAAGCCAGTGTGCCTCTATGGTGAAGATTGATTGTGATGATGAGGGATTACAGTAACCCCATGGTTATTCATGTTTGCTGGTGTTCAGCGTTGTTGCGTGTAGACATCGTCGCTAATCTTATTTTGAGGTTGGTTGATTATAGAGTTGTTGTACAACCCAGCAAATTGAATTTATTTTTGATGATTGCTGGTTCATTTTAGTTTTGATGTTCAAAAAATGATAATATAATAATATATATGATAATATAATATGATTGTGGTTCAATCTCATGTTGTTTTCTAAATATCGTTCAAGAATAGTCGCTGCAGAATTCTTGGACTCATCATTGGTTCATTCTGTGTTTTCGTCATCGTTTTTCAGTCTTTGTAAAGCAGTCCCAATAGTCCTCATTAGCATGAATACTCATGAATAGTACCCATCATAGTACTACACTGTAGTCAGATGTTTACTGGAAAAATAAACATAGAAAATACTGTAACTATTATTGCTATTGATAGCCAACCTATTACGATTATTAATATTTCTATTACTATTTATAATCCAACTATTTTAACTATTGATAGCCATTATCACTACAAATTCAACACAAACAACTGTATATAGTCGGGTTCTCAACCGTGAAAATAGTTGGGCTATCAATACTTGATATATGTTGGGTTCAATATTGAATATCGATCAATATAAAGCAACATCCAACAGTATTTTATATATATTCTTATATATATATAATATATACACATATTATACTACTGTATCCTATTATATTATCACAATATTATCACTGTATTACTCCTACATATGTGGGTTTCCATAAATGGGGGTACCCCAAAATGGATGGGTTTATAAGGGAGAATCCATCTAGAAATGGATGATTTAGGGGTACCCCCATTTGTGGAAACGCCCATATTCCACTTCTCATTACTGTCAAAAAACCATCGAAAAACGACGACGCCTCCAACGGTCGCCTCGGAGGTGCGGATCGGAGCTTCGAGACCACGCAAGCCGCGTTGCTGAGTGACCTGGCCGAACGGCGAGGGCGCGAGTATAGGATTGGATAGGGAGGTATCTTATGTGGTTATTGTATGGTTGATACTTGGTTAATGATGGTTAATATATGGTTACTGTAATGTATCGTGAAATATATGGTTAATAATAATGGGTTTCTATAATCATGGGGGTACCCCTATTAAAATGGACGGTATATTTCATGGACTGGGGGTATCCCCTCTTAAAATGCAAACCTCCATTGATCTTATGTGCACTGAAGCGGAATGACATGGGTATATTCTCCAAACAAAGACGTGATTTCACCTCGAAGTGGATAAGGAAGAAATCATTATGATAATTATTATTATTTAATATACTGTAATTATTTCTTCCACCATTATTGTCATAATAAATATAGGTAGTTCACCAAAAACCACCGTGTGATTTGACATGTTTTCATAGCTAAACGACACCGAAGCACCAAAGAGGCGGAGGGGATTGGACCCCCAACTCCACTCTGCAGACCATGATTCTGGATGTGCGAACCATTATTTGAATTCTGCGTTTCTAAATGATTTTAAAGGGTGTATGTAGTCAAACTAAAGTGATATCATAATTGTTTCTATCTCCAATTTATTTTGTTTTTTTCCGCCTGTTCGTCCTATCTGGAATTCATGGTGGTTTGTGATCTTGCACTTTTTGTTGATGAATTATGGCCCCGTTGTTGTCGAAAAGTGTCATGATTTTTGCATTGCTCCCATTTCTGTTTTGAACAGTTTTGATTAGGAAATTCACCAAGATTGGATATCCAAAAAAGAGGGATAGATGGGGCCATAAACTTGCGGTCCCTTTCTGAAATGTTTGACCGAACCCACTTTGGAGATTGGTCCAAGCGTCGCTTCACATTAATATATATATATATAATTATATATATATATGGGTTAAATAATAACGACCTCACTGTGACCTCACTGGAAATCATGGTTAGTAAGGGAAATTATCCCCAAATGGCCTTAATTCAGGTTAGTGAAATATTATAATTTGCCCACATAAATATATACATATTATATTACATTATATTATATTATAATATATTATATTATATTATGTTATATTCTACTATATTGTATTATATTATATTATAATATACTATATTATACTATATTATAATATAATATAGTTTATTATATTATATTGATTATATTATACATATTATATTATATTATATTATAAATATATTTATTATATTACAGTATTATATATATATAAAAAATAGTGTTTAGTATAATATATATATATATATATATGTGTATATATTAAATATATATATATTATACATATATATTGTATTATATTATATTATATTTTATTATGTTATATTATATTATATTATATTAATATACGTATATATATATATATTATAAATGTTGGTTCGATATGTTCCATATTTTTCCGAACCTTTTTCACCGCCACCTTCGAAATTTCATAGAAAGCTGTGGCCCAGGTCGTAGTAGCGTTGGACGGAGTCGCTCCCAATTCGCCAGCCGCTGGCCCCATGATGTGGGTACCCTTTGGTAATCAACTGTGGCTATAGGAACTATAGGAACTCACCTATAATTTGGTGTTGTAAATGGGATGATCATCTATAAATGGTGGAGTACCAGAGGGTCAATGATGCTATATGATGATAAATGTTGAGGTCCTTTCCGAAATTCGTGGTTTGATGATGTTTGATGCTTTGAAGAGGTTTAGCTTTGTGCAGTTTTTTCTTCAACAGGACTTAGATTCCAGGTGAGGAATAGATGATCATTCCCTGGAGTTCAATGGACAGATCCTACAAACATGACATATCATGACGAAGGGTACACGTCAAGATGAGGTGAGCTGTTGTTTTTGTGGTTTCCCTGCAGTTAGCACTCCATTCCATGGTTATTTGTTGTTTTGTCCATGTGGTGTTCTAAGTTGGATGCCCATTTGAAAGGTTTCAGGATTCAAAATTGGCACTTTTCAGTATATGATATCATATTATACGATATATGTTTTGCAGATACAAAGTCCATGTCATCATGTTCATGCGTATACTCCATGCCATGTGTTAGATGGGTACTGTTGCGGTAAGGTGTGCCGGGTGGGGGGGCAGGTCGGCCAAAGAAATCACAGAACTAGGAAGACTCTACTTGAGAATTAAGTTGAGTTTAAAGTTCAAACCCTATGAATATGTATATATAATTATACATATTAGTTAATTATACTAATAGTGACATATATAACATACAATGAACATATTTCATTGGTAATATACAAGTCTATGTACTATGGTCAAATCTTGGACACGCTGCCCACATTGCGGGATGGTTATCAATCCATTAACATACATTGATCATTGATAGGGATTCATGATTTATATACCCATGATAAGGATTCCCATTCAAGGATGGATGTTTTGAACCTGGCACATATAGAAATGTTTTGTACTGTTGACGGTCCAAAAAAAGCCTTCAGGATGTAGGCTGGACAGAGTGCCGAGGTGTCTCTTGCGATGACCAGGCCGCTGCAGCTGATCAGATGAGCCCACCATCAATATTGAGTCACGATGCCACTAGGGGGAAGTGCAAGTTTGTTGAGGCTCAGCATATAACTATGTTTTCAACTTACAAGAATATACATTCATGTAGAGGTTTCTACGAAAAAAACTATATAGGTTATTGCTAATTTGGTGTTGAACGTGATGTCCAAAACCATTCGGTTTCAGGGTTGTTACATTTTTCCTTAACTTGTTGGGTCCACTTTAATTTCGGGCTGCTCCCGCCATTAGAATCCTTCCCACAAGGGGCCCAGCCTGCACAGGCGCGAAGGACTCCGAAAAGGCCTCAAACCCAGGCCTCAAGCCAGCTGGGAATGCGCTGCGATGGCTTTGGCGCCGACCCAGACCACAGATGATTTGGTCAAGTCTACAACCGGGTCTTCTGAAATTGTAAAGTGGCTTTTATTTGGCATTTCGCTGGGCGCACCCCACCTGGCGCACCCAGTAGGAGATGACTTGCGAGAACCATGGAGATGCAACCAGTACATCTATTAATCTATAAATATTGTCCTGCTTGTTTGTCTATCTATTCATCTATAGTATATGTAGATATGTAGATATGTAGATATGTAGATATATACAGACCTGCAGCAATTATGATCATCATTGAATGGAATCATCCAATAATGAAGTACCTTACAAACGCCACTGGGCGTTGAAACAACAAAATTGGATAGCAACAAGCAGGACACTGAACCAAAATGCGATTCAGCAAAAAAAATGGATTTGAACTTTTGAACCAACAATTGTAGGATAATGAACACATATCACAGTGTCTCAGACACATGCGATGGGGATTCTTAGCCACTTCCAGGTTTGGCTCGCTGCAAGTGTCAAGCATAGGAAATCGTGTGGTTTTTGTTAATCAAGAACTGGGTATTTGGATGGGGAACATCATCGAAGTAAATTCCCACTCAATGGACGGGTAATCCAAGGTAGGACCACCACGATATCCATGTGACACCATTGTTGTTAGTCCAACAGCCTTCTGTGAAAACACGTGAAAGGCAGCGATATGGCCTCAAATTTACTGTTTATAAGATGATGGGAACATATTCAAAAACCAATTTGAGGATGGATCAAAATCTAGGAAGGATACCATACTTTTTTGGGGGAACGATCCATTTTGATCACCAGGGTATGGGTTATAAAGTTATGGATGGTTATGGTCCATAGCTATTTTAAGGGTCCTTTCGGTGAATCATTGTCCTATTGTTGCCACTGGTAGACATTGGTGGGCACCAAGAAACACTGATCCGTTTGTAGATTTTTTGCAGTTTTTGCCCCTCTCGTACTCTCACAGAAAGTGTTCCAATTCAAGCCACAATCATGCAACTTCATTTCTTGATTTGCTCCTGCAGAGTTCCATGTCCTGTACATCTGAATATCTTCAATATATTCTCAAAATTCCAATTCAACCACAATTAAACCACCATTAAATCACCATTAAGAAAAACACTGTGAGTGGTCACCCTGTTCGACCCGGTCACCCGGTAGGCCACACCCGGCTGGTCCCTGCGCTACTGTGAGCTGCTTGGGGTGGGCCCACAACCCACGCAGCGAAGGTTGGACCTGGGGATGGGTCAAAAGCTATGAGTACCATATGACTGGGGGAATAAACATCCATTAATCATCTAGTTTAGGGTCCTGGAGTCCTAGGGAGGGCTTTGACTCATAGACCCTGCCAGGGTTTTGACTCAGCCATCAGACCCTGCCAGAGGGTAGAATACTACTTGCCTCTTGGGTTTTCAGGGTCTATGTTGGGGGGATGGTAACTTCAATAATCAGCTGGCTGGTGTGTTGATGTTGGAAATACATGTGGGATGATGATCTCAGATTTTTTTGGGGGGAAACGAGGCTGAACAACAATTCAGCACCTCTATTGAACATAGCACGTAAGATGGAGCTTGCGCTATTTTGTGGAGTTATTTGGTCTGTATGAGTGGATATAATTCAATTAGATATTGAGTGCAAGTGAATGGGATGTGGAAAATAAAGCCGCAGATTTCAGATACCAACTCTCATGACTAACAATATGAATACCAAGCGTTCAGCTGGTAGCATGGAGCCTTCCAGGTTGAGCCGTCGAGAGGCAGTGACAGCCCGGTGCCCAGTTTTGGTTTGGGCCAACCCCTGCCTTGTTTTTTGTTTTTTTTTAACACCAGCCATGATGGTGGCTAACAACAAATGCTAAAAAAATGTAAGTACTGTAATATAACCAACATGTACCGAGAAAACATGTGTTCAAACCATTTTAAACCCATTTCGGAGCTTTCGAAGAGTTCAAACGATATCATATTATGTTCAAGGGATAATATCTAAGGATCCTGTGCAGGACCTGACTTTTCCAATCGCCAAGAGTAAGTAGGAAATGCAAATGAACACAAGAGAAACACAACTGGGCTGCCGAATAATACACTTATGTTTGTAGTATAACATATGTTATCCTAGGTATCATTATTATGATAATTATGCAAATACAAACACTGTTTGCTGTTTGGTCATTAGTAGGTCAAGCTCAAGTAGAGGGCCTATTTGCAAAAATCGCACAAGTTATCCTCAAGCCCAACACCCTAAAACCTTTGAAACATCCAGGAAAATGCCTACAATCCTACAACCTAAACTCCTAATACCCAGAATCTTAAAACCAATAGTTCTTCAACCCGAAAACCTAGGAAAGCTGAAAAAGTGCGGCCGAGATTTGCAGTGTTTGGGTACGCTTTTTTGTTCGTATCCTATGGATGACCAGCGTCCGCCCAGAAAGTGCCTGCTGCTGTGGAGCGCTTCCAAAAGCAGTTGGAGATGGACCGCTCGCGCCTGGGAAGCGACAAGGGCAACAGCATGGGATTTACCAAGCATTAAAAAACGGGGTAGATATGGGGGATTAGGCAACAATGAGGAAGGTCTATGTTGGGGATTCATAATTATATGATGTTATATGACTATATAAAGTGGATCATCCACTTATTGGTACTTGCCAACCATTTTTCATAGGCATTTGACAGGGAATGGGATCATCATGGGATTTACCTCATGGTGATGGGTTTTTCAGGGGCTAGTTTTTTAAACGCCCATAAGGGTTACCATTTTCCAGAACTAGCCATAGATAATAGGCCGAAAAACCATGGAGTACTTAAAGGGTGTTCACGGTTTAAGCATCAAAAATGGGGGCGTAAAACCATGGATGGCAAAGCTATCTTTTCAATGGGGAGCCAGTTGGAGCAATGGAGCTGGGAGTATTTTTCCTTTTTTTCTCAACAAAAAGAGGGGGGAGCTGTGAATGGAGCTACAAACAGAGTTCCCCAAGCATATGATAGTTGGTTTGATGGGATCTAATGGGATTTACCCTCTGGTAAACGTTTACATAACTATGAAAAATCACCATTTTTTGTGAAATAATACTCCATGATTTGAAACTAAAGAAAACCACATTCCTCAATGCGAATTTACCTTTTGGTGCCTACGTAAATATTCCAACAAATTGCAGCAAACATTATCACCCTGCCTAGCTGCTAGCTGAAACAAAGCCAAGTCAGCTTCAACCCTTGCTTGCCTTTGCCTTTTCAGTAGAGTTGGCTTCGAGCTCTGCGTAAATTATGCCTATTTGCCAATGAATGCTGGACTGATCACTATGGTCATCCATTGATCCATGATCATTTGTCATCCCCCTTCAAGACTGTTGATCATCGTCTACGGTCATCTGTGATTGTTAAGCATCGTGTATGCATGCAAGATTTTTACCCATAATCATTTGAAGATAACTTACCCATTTGTACTGTATAGAATTATGTTGATAAATTATCCAGTTTTCTATCATTATGATGATAATAATCATCCATATTATATTTATCAATCATCCATAATTTACCAGTTATCGATGGATGAATAAAAAAATGACCTCACCGTGGTGGCGTCACTGGAATCATCCACAAATGGCCGCAAGTTTCAGCTATAACTTGAGGTTCGTGAATTATTAGAATTCAGCCATATAATATATATATATACATACCGTACCAATCATTTGCATATCGTCCCCTAAGGATCCATGTATAGAATATTTACCTACATTGGGATTATTTTAAATTACTTTAGGGGTCAATGTAGGCAAATATTCCATACATGGATCCTCTGGGGTCTATAATCATTTAATCTTGTATAGACAGATATTCATTCGTATTTTTTTCTATAATCAGCTGGAATCATCTCGAACATTTGCCTTGTTCAATCATAATCTATGAGGATAATCTATAACAATCTATACAAAATCTACGATCATTTGTGTATATATAAGATTCGTATAAGAAAAAAACTACATCTATAGTATCAACACTATAAGATTCTATAGAAAACATTGATCCTATAGTATCAACAATCTATAGAAAAAACTAGAATAATCTATACTCATCAACATTATACATATCTATCCTCATCCAAGGCACCACCGGTGCCGCACCCGGCACCAAGGTCGGGCAATTCGGTCTTCTTGGCCACCAAATCACGAGGTTGGGCAACACATGTGGCAACAAAAAAAGATGTGAAAAGATGAAGTATATCCAAGTATATCCAAGAACTGGATATCTATGATTCAGCTTTTGAACGGAGTTTTGATCCATTGCCATATATATATATATATATGCCATTGTGTTTTCCAACTGGTGCTTCAACATTGGTGTTACCACCATGAAAGTCAGTTATATTCATCCATTTTCCATGGCTATGTTTGATTGCCAGAGGCCCAAAACATTGGTCCCAGGACCTTCAGTTTTGACCAATAAGCCAAGATCCATATCCATAACATGAAATCCTATGCATTGCATCCAGGTCACCTTAACTTGGATGCTGAAGTGAAGATTTCATTTGGTCTAGAGCTGTGAATTGCTGGCTATTTAGGTTCCAGGCGCATCTACAATCACCTGTACACACATATATATATATATATACATATATAATTATATATATATATACGTACATATATATATATATATGTACATATATATATATATATACCCATGCACAATTATATTAATATAGATATATATATATATATATTCTATATTCCCATCCTTTCCAGAAAAAAACATCCACGTCGGATGAGTGCCAGGAACTCGGGATCCTCGAGTGCAGAGGTATCAGACCTTCCACAGACAAGAGAGCAGGCGCTTGCGTTTCGGCCAGGTGATGTTTTCGTCGCGGTTGTAACATAATACCCTCTGGTAATTTAACATAGCTATTGAAAATGGCCATTTATAGTTGATTTTCCCATGAAAAATGGTGATTTTCCATAGTTATGTTAGTTTACCAGAGAATGATCGGATAATGGTGGTTGATCATGGTCAAAACCAGGTGTAACATGGTTTTGGAAAAGGGGTTTCATACATGTCAATCTTTTGTAATGCGTGTATTTGGTGAATCGTGGTGTATAATGGTTAGTATAATGGGTGTATGAGAAACAGTAATGGATGAAGAACGGTCAGTTGGAATAGTGCGGTAAAACCCCAAAGGCCATAATAAAGGTGATGACTTGGGGATGGTGTAGATGGTATTGGGTGAATCCCACATGAAACTAAATAGACTACACACTCACACCAGGTATTGAACTTTAAAAGGAATTTGAACGGTGGTGTTTATGTAAGGTTACCATAGTTTCAATTGTTTTATGAGTTTAATATGGTTTTGTAATGTGGTAAACCCAATTGTTTGTTTTCTAAATTGGACGGTTTACTACTATTGGGTTTACCCCATTAGTATGTTTAGCATTAAGGATGAATCAGTGAATGTTGGGGAAGTTGTTGAATGTTCACTGAAAAAAAAACAAGTTTGATCGAACGTGTGAATCCATTGGTGACAACTTTTGAAGACCCTTGAATCATCCTGCAGCAGTTTCATGAGACATTCATGGAGAGCACGCATGATTTGGGGTTGATTCCCAATATCCAGCCGCAAGTGCTGGGCGCGCATTCAACTCAGCTCGCAGCTAGAACTAGATGACATGCTACAACATAAATACTTACATGCCCCCCACCAAGAGTGGGTAGTGAAGTTTGATAGCAAACCCCGAAGAAACGTCGACAATTCTGGTGGTCATTGCTCTGGTTGGAGGCTAGGTACACACCTCCTTACATTGATATATATATATATAAGGATATATATATATATATATGTATAGGCTCAAAATCGTTGGGACAAAAAAAACATATTTAATCAATCCAACAAAAAATGAAGAGGTTGGTGTTTGTGCCCCTTTCATTCAGCCATATAGATGTATAGTGTGACACCGTGTTTTCTTCGTCGTATGGGATGGGTACCAGCCAAACTCTCAAAAACCATCGCAATCATTGATTAGTTTTTTTCAATTTCATTGTCATTTTTCCAAGTGCATCCACCCCCCAAAAAAGACAAGAAATGCCAAATCCTACTGAAATACAGTAGCAGTAAATAAGTTTTCTATGATGTTCTATGTGTTTGTTCATTTTCTTGCAGGGGTTTACTATAAAATGTTCAAGGGTTTACTATGGTTTACTATAAAATCCATCTGCAATTTTCTCCGGGCACCCATTCGCTCTGCTGAGCAGCTTCGATTCCCGGCAGGATGCGTGCACGTCGTCGCGCCATTCAAGCGGATGCATCTCGGCGCTTTCGATGGATTGCGCGGATAGAACTGGGTTAGAATTGGATGAAAATCCTATGAACATGGTCTCAAATCGTGACTTGCCAGAATTTCATAAGATTTTAAGAATGAACATATGGGCATATAGTTGGATATAATTTATAAACGATGGTTGGTTGATGATTGCAGGAGGTCATATTATCTAATTGGTGACTATGATCATCCATTAACTGGGAATCCCGAACGTGATCAACCAGCAAGAAGGAAGGCCATTTGGGGTATTATTGAACACTGCTCAGTACCCATAGGATCCATGGTGCTGGTATATATGCTAACATGACTGGGGTATATTGATGGGATCCATGTTACCATATATAGCAGCACCATGGATGCTCTGGGGTATGCAAATCACTGATTTCTTGGGGGCCGTGACACACAGTGATTGTCAAACCTTGAGGTGATGGGCCAGAGCCGAAGATGCATCAAGTTGGCATTCAGGTGGCTGAGACGCATTAACCAGCTCGACCGAGTTCCAACGGTCCCTGCGGTGGTGGTGGTCGTGGTTGGACAACTGAGAATTGTTTGACAAAAAATGGATCAAAAGTCCCCTTCTAGAAATCCTGAGCATGTTTCTTCTATTCAATTTTGGTCCCTGTTTTTTTTTGGGGGGGTGTATTTTATCGAGGAATGGCGTAATTTTTCCGTGTCTCTTTGCTAATCATGCCTTAAACTTTTCAAGATGCCAGGTATATGCAGATGAATCATGCAGAGCGAATCGACTACTTGAAAAAACTCTTTGACAGCAAAATGTCGAAGGCCTGGGCGGCCTGAGTGACAGTGATACAGCTGATCTGGATAGCCATTATGGGATATTTAATATGATAATATAACAAGATATATGAATCCCAGTATATCCCCATTGTTTAGTAACTATATCTTCTAATAGGTTTAGGTAGTATAACCCACACGCTTGTGAGGCTATGGGATAGAGTGGGGTATTGGGATGAACCATCAAAACCTGCGAACTTGCGCGGACAGGACAAGGCAATTGTCGCTGGGAAATAGTCGATTCCAGAAGCATGGTCTGTGGAAATGACATATGGCTATGGATCAATACCTATACATACAATTTTTAATGGGATGGATGAACATCCATTTACCAGCTATTTTGATGTTCACCAGGGGTACAAGGTTTTGACACACTGCCATATGATCAATTCGTATCAAAAACTATTTTTAATGAGTTGACCTTCAGCACAGACGGAAGTGCCTGCGCTGGGTATGAAGTTTGGACCACCTTATGAAGAATGTCCCTTCTAAGTTTCTCCTGATTGCAAGAAGTGTACCGCATCTTGGATTCTTGTTTACTGGTTTACTAGATCCACCACGTTTGTAGCATAGATATGCATAGATACAGTACTGACAGTACTGATACATATATATATATATATATATTACACACACAAATCATCATGTTTTGCCATATGTCCACTGGCTGTGTTCCAGTGCCCGCAATCATAATGCCGGGACACTTCTTCTGCGCTTGCCGTGCTTGTCATGGGATGGCAGGGTGGCAGCGTCAACCGTCCTGAACAGTATGGTATCTCCAATGAGGACAGGGGGGGCTGTTGTTTTCCCCCACTTGGGCATGGGTAAAAAATGTGGTACCTTTGACCTATAATTATAATGAATTAAGGACCCACCAAGCCGGGGTTTGAGCTGTGTGTTCTTCGGAACATCCTGAACTAAGGGAAAATGATCTCACTGTCCTTGGGCAGATTATACTCAACCAACCTCACCATTCTGCAGTGGTTTGCATGTGGAATCATTTATAGTGAGTGCCTGATTGATACTGTTTTCCAATCCGTGGTGAAATTATCAGTTGCACAAAGCTGAGTGATTGTCATTTTCCCCACCACGTTTTCCCCAGGTTTTCTTTGCTCCCCATGTTAAAGCCATGGATCCCAGCGGCGTCAGGAACTGAAAGGTTTGGCCGCCAAAATGGCTCTTCCGGAGCAGGAGGTCGATCATTTGGATGTCCAGTTCCGACATTACGACTTCGATGGCAGCGGCGCCTTAGACTTGGAGGTGCCCTCCGTAGGGTGATGGAACGGGGGCGTACTCTGATGGTTTTTCACTGAGTGGTTGGGGTGTTAAAGGATCACTTTCAGTCTCATGACTCGTGAAAATTCACAACATTCACGTATCATTTATATAATATATATATATATAAGTGGATGGGATTATTTCCATCATCATACTATCAATATTTATAAATATCCAATCTTTATATATTATCAATATTTATCAATATGCATCATCAATATCCCATGTTTATCAATATTTATCAATATGCCATATAAGTTGTTTTTTTCCCGTCTCACGATGTTTTGGAACCTCTCTGGAAGTTTGTTTTCCGCCAGGAAGTGCGGAGTATCCTGGCAGATATCGGCCTCAGCCCGCAGAACCGCGAGGAAAAGTTTGAGGCCCTGGGGCCCAGGTTCTGGGACCTTGGGGACCATGAGCAGCGCTTCAGCGGACAATCCAAGCGGAGATTTGGAGATTTGTTGTTTGTTCCGGAATTGGCTATATAATATAAAGGATATAAAAGGAAGAAAAGTAACGTAAAAATATCCAAGTTAGTAAACGGTATATTTCCTCAAAACAATCCAGTGTTTGTCGTGGTTGTTGGTGAATGTTTCAAGAGCTTAATCAGAACAATAAGGTCATAAAATCAACTACTTGGTTATCTCAATGTTTGCTGGTGAATGATTGTGGGTCAGATAGCGGAACCACATCCTGTCTTTCTCCATCCCTTAAGAAGCGAAGATCTTCAACTAGTGAATGAAACAGGTTTCCTAGCCAATGGGATATTTGGTTGAGCTACATCAGCTCCAGCTGTTGTAAGGTGACCGAGTGCATTAACGAAAAGGTGCAGAAAATGGGCTGCGAGGACCAATGGGATTTTACCATGATGAGATATGCAAGTGTAGATTTTACCAGCCTTACAGGTGTAGAATCTGGTGTAGTCTCTTTGAGGACTGTGATGAAAGATTGATGAATTTGTTGTAGTTGATGTGCAATATTGTGCAATGATGCGCATAAGTTAGTAGATAATTGGAAGTCAGCAGTCATTGTGTTCAGGGGGCCACGGATTTTCTTTGCCCATTGGCTGTCATGTGGGTTCTCCAGGATTTCGCACAACTCTGGATGACGAGTGAGAAGTTTAAGCATCACCCAGAAGAGGTTGTTCTCAGTGATTCTCCTGATGTTTCTTATTTTGTTGGTGGTTTGGAACATTTTTTATTCCCCACCTGCCAGGTGAGGGTTGTTAGATTTTATGTCAGTTGCCTCCTCCTCCTTCTCCTCCTCCTCCTTCTCCTCCTCCTCCTTCTCCTCCTCCTCCGCCTCCTCCTGCCTCGTCCTCCTCTCCTCCTCCTCCTCGTCCTCCTCGTCGTCCTCGTCGTCCTCGTCGTCCTTGCTCAACTGCGACCCGCGATCCACAGTGTTCTCTGCCGGACCTCAACCACGACCATCCACGCCCAGTGTTCCCTGCCGGACCTCAACCACGACCATCCACGCCCAATGTTCCCTGCCGGACCTCAACCACGACCATCCTCGCCCAGTGTTCCCTGCCGGACCTCAACCACGACCATCCACGCCCAGTGTTCCCTGCCGGACCTCAACCGCGAGTATCCACGCCAAGTGTTCCCTGCCGGACCTCATGTAGGAAGATATGGGACAAAGAATGTGCAGAAGAAAGTTAGAAAGAACGTCAGAAAGAATGTCAGAAGATATGCCAGAAGATATGCCAGAAGATATGCCAGAAGATATGCCAGATAGAATGCCAGATATGCCAGAAGATATGCCAGATAGAATGCCAGATAGAAATGCCAGAAGATATATAGAATGCCAGAATCAGAAGATATGTCAGAATATATGCCAGAAGATATGCCAGATAGAATGCCAGAAGATATGTCATATATAATGCCAGAAGATATGCCAGATAGAATGCCAGAAGATTTGCCAGATAGAATGCCAGAAGATATGCCAGATCATATGCCAGAAGATATGCCAGATAGAATGTCAAATAGAATGTCAGGAGATATGTCAGATAGAATGCCAGAAGATTTGCCAGTAAGAAAATGTATAAATGTCATGGTGGGGATCACACGAAGTAAAGTAATTTTCCATAATATATGGGATAATCCTTCCAATTGACTAATATTTTTCAAGATGGTTAAAACCACCAACCAGCAATTGTTTGGACAAACCTTGTTGCGAATCGCAGGAATTTGAGTTTGAAGCTTTCTTGGACCTCCTGAAATCGGTGCGCGAACGCCTCAAACAGGCCCCGTCTTGGAATTTTCCAAGATCGCGTGTTGGAAGATCAATGGGATTTGATTGGGAACCACATTTGCGAACCAGATGGTTTTGGTATGTTTTGGTTATTGATTCCATGTCAACAGGATATTTAAACCCAAACCGCCTGAGGAAAATTCTGCCATATCCCTCCATTTGCGATGATTTTGGTTTTCTGAATCCACCATGATTGTTTGGGGCATCAGCAATCTCCAGGTGCAGAGCATCAAATGCTGGAGGCTCTTCCATGAGGCTTGCGGCATGCCGTGCCTGTTTTGCATTGGGTTGAACAGTTTGTGTTTTTTCGCCAAACAATTTGGGACATGTTGATAGAATTTTGGGATTTGACCAGCCAACTATTGAAGATTCGAACAAAAAAACATGCTAGCCAGCTTAGATTGATGATGATGATGATGAAGTGATTATCGTTGGAATTCCATTGATAATCATTATAGCATTAATGATGAAATACTTGACAAACATAATACTGATGATGATGATGATGGTGACCTTCCGACTCGATCGTAGGCGGATGTGATTGGCAGAGACAGCTTGGAAATGCTGAAGATCATGGCATTGTTGGAGCGGCCACGGGCGGAGGGCAGACTGGGATTCATTCAGGGCTAAGACGTGCCGTTCTCAACTGGCTGGTGTTTTGAAACATGGACTTCATATGCCTGATTAATATTGATTAATCCTAATTATGCCTTTTAATTTATAGCCCTGCCTGGAATACGTAATTTCCATAGGAACGATGATGCCCAACAATTCAATGACCAATGCTAAAAAACAAGATTGAAACCACCATCCACAGAACCATTCGCAATGGCACTTCAAACGAGAACACCATTGCTTTATTGGCTTGGTACCCATGGTGAGCCACTGTTTGTATATACAATTAAGGTGATTCAGAACTGCGACTTCCGTACCAAAACACAAGTTCAATAAAACTACATTGAACATCTTATGTAAATAGGGTAAAATAATGAAAAAATATGAACAACTAAAATCCTATGGAAATTGTATGAGACATTACCCATAGGATCCATGTATGGTATATATGCTAACATTTAGGGTATATTGATGGTAAATGTTACCATATATAGCAGCACCATAGATCCTATGGGTTATACATCACCTTTCCTTCCAAGGCATGGCCCGGCAGGAGACGAAACTGGGCTTTTACTTGAGGTCCTCAGAGGAGAATTCCGAGGCTGTGGCGAGGAATCATGGGGGGTATGGGTATGAAATGGGGATAATGTACTGGTAAATATATATATAATCATATATATATATAATAATATTTATATATTATAAATTATAATAAAATATATGTATATATAATATAATATAATATAATATAATATAATATATTATAATATAATATAATATAATATAATATATATATTATATTATAATCATATATTATATATTATTTTTTATATATAATATTATGATATTATAATATATATATATATATATATAAATGCAAAAAAACGAGATAATAATATGATATTATATTGGCATTAATATGGCATTCTCAATAGTGTACACATTGTTTCTTTTGACATACAATCATCCTGAAGTAGATAGAATATGGATTTTTGAAAGATATTTAAAGTTTTGTGATGAAGTTTTGGAGTGTCCATATTATTTTGGTGGGGGTGCTAAGAGAAATAACATGTGTTCTTAAATGTGCGTAGTGGTAAGCACCTGATAGAAATCCTAGAAACATTGAGGATTTCGCCAGGTTCTCCAGAACACCACACACAAAAACAGCGGTAGCTGGTAGCTGCGGAGGCAATTAACATCTTTGCGCAGTGTGACACCGACTGCGATGGTCCGGATGCCTCCCTTTTTTGGGGCCGACTATAACGGGGATTCGAGATTTTACTTTACAATCAAAAATTTATAGATGATTCATGGCGATTCTCCTATTGAACACGGGGATCTACATTGCCAACCAAAACTGTATTCAGCTTGAAGTCGTTTGTCTGAAAATTGGGCCAACATCTCCATGGTGAATCCTCAGTTTCTCTGATTCGTCTCGAAAAACCCGGCTGACACCGAGCCTTGACACCGAGGTTGTTTGAATCTGGATGAATTTCAGGCCTTCGTACAAAAGGCTCGGCGGCTCGGCGCTTTTCCGACCAAATCAGGGATACCCTGCATGACGCCATAAGTCGCATGAGTTGGGGATTGGAAGACTTCCTCCAAAGATTCTTAATGGCAGGATCTACCTGGGGGGGATGGTCAATCGGTAAATCATGGGATTTTCCAGGTCGTCTGACTCGATCCTCCAAGAGGAAACTCCAGAAACCATGGATCCAATGTTATGATTGGTCGTTTCAGTGCATGGCCAGTCTCGCTCTCCATGTCTGATGGTCATGAAAATTACCCATCACCTAGAATTTCTGGTTCTAGCCTGGCCCCATTTTTCAGATGAAACCCAGTTTTCACCCCATGTTTGTTGGTTAATTCTAGTTAAACCCCAGTTTTCAGATGAACCCCCATTGAAACCCCATTAGAAAACCCTTAGTTTGTTCATAAAACTAGTCTGTTGCCCCCCAATTTGGTGAAAACGGGTATCCCGGGGTTGGCGAGGTGCGGGCCAAGCTTCTGACGCTGCGGCGAAGGGAAGAAGTTCAAATTGCGAAGAAGCCGCTGAGATCCAAGAGCTGCAGTATATTGGTAACTTAGTAGGTGTTAACGGGATTTAATGGGATTTATATCATGGAATTTACATGAATTTATATAGAAGGGGAAAAATCAACAATCTGATATTTGGATTTGGTTGAAAATGGTGTATAGACCTAGTCATGGCCATTTGAAAAGGCAAAATTATCATTATCCACCGGATGGATTTAGCATGATTTTAACATCAAATAAAGGGAATTAAACAATACTTCCTTTCTGCAAAATATGAAAAACAAGACACAGAAACCATGGTTCCGTAGGGGATTTAGACATACCTCGAACCATTAAGGGGTGTCTATTGTTGGGGGAATATGGATATAATGGGGATATCAAGGGGATTTGAGTGGAATATTGGTGTGCCTGAAAATGAGGTATACCCTCCTTCAACGTGAATTGAACATGAACAAATATGGCCAAGCACTGGATTTACGAGCACCTATTGTCACACAAACCCATGTATTCAGATGTATATATTATATATCTATATATATATATATATATACATATTAATTACTAATTATTCGAGAATACGTGACCTGTATTTCATCAAGGAATGTTTGGGTAAAAAAAACGAGCTGAGCTTGGTGCGCACAGCAAAATGATTCAAGGCGGCATGTCTAACACCGGCATGTCTAACACTGATGATGATGATGATTATTATTATTTATTATTATTATTACATATTTGTGCAAGTGTGTTTGCAGTGCAAGTGAACCAGTGTTGTCCCATTGTTGTCCCCGTCCCACCCCTCACCACCACACATCATTTGGCTTGGGCTGAGGTTTGATCTAGAGCCAGAGATTCTCCATGAATTCCGTCGCTTGGTGGGTACCAGTGCCAGATACGTGGCATGTTTTTCCCATCCCACCTGGGATGATCTAAATTCATATTCCTTGATGGTTGGCAAGAAGCAGCGGTCGCACATGGTTCTCAATTTTGGGATACACTGAAAAAGTTCCAATCCCTGATTTTGATGCTCAGATCCGTGCATATTGGGTGCCCAACTACTACCGCGGTCCTCTGAGGGCTTGCCGATCAGAGTTGGTTAGGATTATATATGATGATGCTCCAGGGGGAGTTAGAGTCCTGGGGGATAAATTGAACTTCATTCTTTTTAAACGGTGGCACCCCCAAATCATCCATATTCATATTATAGGATTTTCCACACTATAAACCATCCACTTTGGGGTGCCCCTATTTATGGACCCCCCCCCTCGCGTCAGTCCGCTTGGCTATCTGAGGTTCCGATTTGCCATCTTTTTGGAAGATTTTTGAGCGCTATTCCTTCAACAAAGTCGACCAAGGCCCGGGACTTCTTGATGAAGCACTGGAGCTTCCTTTATCATTTTTTAAAAGAATGGAGGATGAACTTGAAGTATTCAAAATGCAGGATTTTGTAAGGTTTTAAGCATCAGGCTTTGTTATATTTCAGACTCTTGCCGGTTGAAGGCTCCCGTGTTTGGTGAAATCTACCGATTGTGAGTGGATTTGTCATCCCTTGCCATCCAGGAGTGCGCAAGGAAGATTTGCTGCCATTTATGGTGGACATTGGTTTAGCTCCATCGAACACGGAAGAGCCACAGCATTTGGGCGACCAATAGTTCAGGGGCCAGGGGCCTATAAAATGAATCATCTCGTTTGTAGGGGGTTCCTAATTTAACAATATTACACAATATTACACAATAATATACAACAAGTTCGGGATGGTTTATTTTTGTGCATGTGAATGGTAGTTTTATAGGTATTTATAGGTGATATATGGTGATATAGTGTAATTACGTGTTGTCTCATATAAATCTCCAGCTGAGGGCCAGCATATTATGTGAAACATGGGACATTTGACGAGACTTGACTACCCGGAGAGGGGGTTGAAGTGACCAAATGGAGGTATATATATATATAATATGTAGTTCGGTTCAAATCAACCATAATTTGATATAGTGGTATCTATAATGAAGTGGGATGTATATCTATATATATATAATGAACTGACTCAGGCTCAGGCTATAATTTAGATGATTTATAGTTCATAATCATGTTTGTGTTCAAAGGTCTGTCATCTTGCACCCGCAAGCGAAGATGCTCCGAATTGGTTTCTTGATGGATTGAGACAGTCATTGAACCTTTTCTAGATTGGTTGGGACTTCGATTTTATCTGAATTTGAATATAATCTGAGTCTGTGTCACTCTGAAACAACATGCATAAAATACATTATGATTTATAACATGTTCTAGTCATTATTACAAAAGAAAACTTTGAGTGGAGTCCTGGAGAAAGTTTCGTCATTTGAGTACTATACACTATGTAAAACTCAATGGTTCCTGAAGTAAAGGAGGGTTTTAAACCTTTGTTTACCCATCAATTAGGAGATATTAGGAGGCTGGATTCCATATCCAGGGCTCCTTCCTCGCCGGCGAATGAGGTGCCTCCCACTGATCGACGTCATCTCGGAGTTCGCGCAGAAGTACACGAAGTTTCCGGTGCGCCCAACGACCTGGCCTGGCGTTCCATGAAGGGGGGGTGCTGGCGCCCAATGGAGTGATTGGAGTGGTGGAGATGATTTGAGATGTGGGTTTGATGGGGTTACAGGATGTGTTACTAATAATGCTACTACATAATCCCAGTTACTACTTCTTTTTATGGCTTTATGATTTGATACTTCCATGAAAAACTCCAAGGTCCTCAGGAGAATGTGTTGCTTAGAGCCTCCCCAGTCGTGAGATTCTTCACTGGATGTCATAAAGATGATTTGATACAACATGATGTTCAATAAAGTATCAACTATTCTAAATTCTAAATACAAAGTTATATTTAAATATATTTAAATGAACTCTCAATAAATAATGATAATTTCTGTGAAAATTGGTTTATATTGCTCCTTTCCCCTTCCTTCCCCTTCTTTCAGCCTTCCCCCAATCCCGTGGGATCATGGATGAGACACAAAGCCATCATTTGAAGCTCCGAAGATGAGCCCTTTGCCAGAGGCTTTACTGGAGATCTTACGGAAGGCAGGGGAATTGATTGGTGCCTGGTAGGGAATGGGGGAATGATCCATACCTATTGAGAATCATCCCATTTCGCAAGACCAAGGAAAACCGCCAAGAAGTTGAGCTGAAGCAGCATAGATCAGAATGTGCATGAAAGAGCCCTGAGTCGATGAGGGTTTTCCAGTTTTCCCTAAGAGATGTGAAAAATTCCGTAGTCAACCGGCCAAGTGAGCCATTAGAAAAGAACCCTAATTTTAATTGACTTTGGGTGATACGATACATGGTGATGCATGGTTATACGATGTTCTACTACTGAGTTTATTGGGATTAACTATTGATTATTGGCTGTTATTGGCTAGGGGTATAGGAATAGGATCCCACCAACAGTATCTCAATGTATCTCATCTATTGATTACAACCCATAATTATATGGATGTAGGTCAAAATGGAAGACCGTTAAGGGGACCACAGATGTGAATGTCTAGTTTAGTATTAACCATCCATAATTTTGGGCTACCTAATTTTGACCCATACCCATATAATTATATCATTGTTACAGGGATACCACGGGATACCTCTAAACCTCAACTGGTATGGTATGGCGAAAGACGGGGTGACCGCTCTTGATCGCTTCGCCAGGGGCGTTTGGCTGTCCGCGCCAGCTTGGAAGAGGACAACCAAGCAACGGTAGGAAAATGCAACATCAAACAGGGAATTATACTATGTGGTAAGTCCTATCATTAATATCATATATATATAATTATATATATGCAGGGTATAGGGGTATTCTCCTCTCGAATACCTATGCCAAAATCCTGCACTCATGGGCTAGGCAGAAGCTTCTCCCTACCCTCTTGGAGCGCAAGACCTTGGGCCAGTTAGGCGGTTTGCCCTCACAGCAGACGATCACAGGAGTCCAAGCCGTGAGAGTACATGGTCACGTCGCCCACATGAAACACTTGTCGAGTGCTGTCATGTTTATTGACCTGAGAGCTGCCTTCCACCACATGCTGCGCGAATTGATTTTTGCGACCAAGAACCACATGGCACTTGAGGTCCTTGAAAAATTTTTGGATGGCAGTGAGTTTGACCTGATGCAACTTTGTGCAGATCTTGACACCCTTTGTAATGCTGACATCTCTGATATACAGCCTGGGCTACGTCAATTTCTGCATGATGTACATCAACAAACATGGTTTTTCCTACGTGCAGAGGATGCAAACCATCGCAGCACGCACACAAGAAGAGGAACCCGCCCAGGATCACCTTTAGCTGACATCGGGTTCAACTTAATGATGTCGGCTTTGCTCTCTGAAATTCAAGCAGGTCTCATGCAGATTGAGGACTACACACAGGGAGCTACAGAACTTGGAACGTATGTGCCGCCCATTGCATGGATGGATGACGTGGCAATTTGCCTGACCACTTCGCAAGCTATCCAGCTGGTGCCACTGATTCAAGACACCACAAAAATTGTGCATGCGGCCTTCAGAAAACGTGGCTTGACGCTCAACCTTGACAAAGGCAAATCCGAGCTCATTGTGGTGTTCCGAGGTCCTGGTGCAGTTGCACAAAGAACTCTCCTTTTCGACATCGAGAACCAACCAAGGGTCACTACGACCACTGAAACCCACATTTTGAGCATGAGGGTCATTTCATCATATCGTCACCTTGGGGTGAGGTTTGCCATGAACTTGGACTACGATCGGGAAGTGATTGCGAGGGTAGGTGCAGCGCACCAAGCCTTCGCACAAATGCAGAAAGCCATTTTTTGCAACAAAGCTATACCACTCCCTGGTCGGCTTGTGCTTTTTCAGAGTCTTGTACTTTCTCGACTGCTGTATGGGTGTGCGGTTTGGGCTGAGCTCTCTGCAGCATCGTACCGGAAGCTTGAGGCGACAGTCACTGGCTTCTACAGAAGAATTTGCAATACAGGTTTCTGGTCATCTGACCACCTCACTGATCAAGCATTTTTGCAAAGTAGCAGATTGGTCTCATTCCGCATCTTCTGGGCTCGGCATCGCCTTTGCTATTTGCACCACCTTGCCAGCCATGGACATACCTTTCACAAATCGTTACTCCTTATGGAGTTTCAAAATGAGAAGGGTTGGCTTGTCGAAGTTGCAGATGATCTTCGATGGATGACCAAATTCCATGAACTGCCGTTTGACATACCTGTTGATCGCGCTGGTTGGATCTCAGCTTGGAGTGCTCTTCGCGATTGCAGACCATGGCGCAAATGGGTTGTGACAGCAGTTGCGAAACATCTCGAGCAGGAGAAGATCGCGTATGAGATTGGTTTTTACCATCGCCAAATTCAGACGGAACTTGAGGAGGCTGGCATGGAGCTGGCACCAGCACCATCTTCTCTAGATGCGCGCAAGCAGAAGATGTACCCTTGTGCACACTGTGATGCATCTTTCTGTTCAGCGCAGCAATTGGCGTTGCATGCCTTCAGGGTGCATCAGCAACGATCCGCAGAAAGTCGCTATGTCCAGTCTGAAGTCTGCGCAGGATGTTTACGAACGTTCCACACTACGTTTCGGGTAGTGCAACATTTACGCTATCGAGGGAATCAATGCTGGGATCGCTTACATGGCGTGAGAATGCCAGATGACCCTGCTAGTGTTGCACTTCCAGCTCACCTTGCCGGAGTCTGTAGGCTGCCAGTGATACGAAGGCATCATGGGCCTCTTCGACCAACCTCCCGACAACGAGAAAAGCTGAGGGTTCGTCGAGAACTGCAGCAGGTGTGGGACGAAGGTCAACCAGACTATGCATGGTGGGAACCTAACCAAAGCACTGAACTCACTGCCAGATGTCATCAGGCATTTGATGATTGCCTTCAGCGATGGTTTGCTGGCGACCAACCTGACATTGTGAGTTTCCACAACCTCTTCTTTGCCACCATGTTTTCCCTGGACATTCCTGAATTTCAAGCTGCTAGGCTATTTATTCACTGGTCTGAGACATGTTTTGCTGATTTTGTGCCACATGAAGACCAACTGGATTACATGGCAGCACTGGATGAAGCGATGATGACGCTGCTCGAAGATTTGCATATCTGGAAGTTGCGGCTCCGCTACCACCAATTGCAAAGACAGCTTCTCTTTCTGGAGCAAGAGGAGGACGAACAGAGGCACAATGATGCCCCTCAGGATGTGAACAAGCGCAAAGCACGACTCCATCCCATTGAGACGTGTTATGACCAGATGAAGGAGCAGGAGCTACAGCGACGTGCCTGGAGAATGACAACAAGGCCAAATCGCAGAGCTGCCCCTGTGCAGGGCCCTTACTTCGTCATCCACCTCTACGCTGGCCGACGTCGAGAAGCAGATTTTCACTTTTATATGAGCAAGCTCATTGCCGATTGCCCGCAGGCGTGGGCGAATCATATCACTGTGATCTCGCTGGACACTGCTATTGACAGCAGTATGAACGTCCATTCTGAGCGTTTGTGGAGCTGGCTGTTATCAACAGCCAAAGAGGGACGAATTTTGGGCTTCCTGTTAGGACCTCCCTGCGAAACATGGAGCAGTGCCAGACACGAGTTCAACCATGCGGATGATGGAGCACTTCTTCAAGGACCACGACCTCTACGACATGCAGAGGCTTGCTGGGGCATCCCTGGACTTTACCTGCGAGAGCTGAAACAGCTCTCTGTGGGCAGTTGCCTTTTGTTGCGTGGCCTCTGGTTGTGCATCCCCATCGCATTGACAGGTGGGGCAGTGATGTTGGAACACCCGGCACCACCTTACCAGGAAGACCGGCCATCCATTTTCCGTACAGGGCTGGTCACACTGCTTCTACGAGAAGGATGGCTTTTCAGAAGACACACGTTTCAACAATGGCGCCACGGCTCCAAAGGGGTCAAACCAACGACCCTTTTGTTTGCCAACAACAAGATTCCGGATGTGCTGGCGGAATTTGCTTTGAGAGGCATCGAGCGACCAACTGAAGCCTTGATTGGACGCAATGAAAGTGGCAAGTTCAAGACAGAGGTTGCGAAGGAGTATCCCAGCAACCTGTGCAGTTGTTTTGCCACCGCAATTTGGCGGCATATCGAAAAGCTGCCCCTTGGCATTGAAGGCGAAGCTCCTTCATGCTTCGCAGTTGAATTGGCTGATGCCTCTGCCCGGGTGGATCCCGACAGAAGCTATTTGCCGGATTACCAGCCCCAATAAACGTGCTGGTGCATGAACGCCGCGAGGAGACTCAAAGGGCCGATCAAAAAAAAATTATATATATATATATATATATTATGATATAATATATATATAATATACAGTAATTAGTTCTAATAATGTATATTGACCCCCCCCTGTACTACTACAGCTGAATATACATTTTCCAAGCGCCTCAACAGCCTAATCTTCGCCATTTATCATCAAACTAATATTAGAGTGGATCCTTTTGCGCTTCCCCGAAGTCTTGTGGATCAAGTAGCAAAGCGAGTGCACTTGGCCTGGGGGCCACATGCAAGTTCGGATTGGAAGGACTTTGGACATGTTCGGAAAGCCTGGAAGAGAGACCAAGATGGCTGTGCCAGACCATTGGTGATTACGAAGCTATTGCTGTATGTCATATAATACCGTTACATCACCAAACTGTGAAATTTACACAAGAAGATCACACATGATCAGAAAGAATCACAGAGATACATGTAAACGGCTGTAGAGAGTGTTCAGAGAATGAGAACTGCACATGATGAATTGGTCATTGTTGGCTTCGCCGGCGTGGATAGCACTGCGATGGTTCGTGTGGCTTTCATTTGCCGATTTTTTGGGGGGTCTGCGCACGTGAAAACCATGTGCAGTTCTGCATGAGCTATGCGATGCCATGCGTTTTTTTGGGGGTCCTGAGTCCTGACACGTGAAAACCACGTGCAACTATGAGCACGTGAGATCAGATGAAGAGCAACAGTCTCAGTGACGAGATGTGGATACTCCGAAGGAGTACTATGTCCTCCACGGTTGCGCCGGGGATGAGGATGACCGCTGGGGTTTTGACTTCTATGAGGTCGACGCTAGATGCGAGCGACACTGACTTGGAGCGGTTCCGAGCTACAGGACAAAGAGAGATAGCGAGTGATTCACTTGTGGGCATATCTGCGGATATCTGCAGTAATTAATGGAACCAGGAATGGCTTATGTACAGATTACAGTAAGGTCTGCTTGGATCTGAATTGATGATATTTGAATGTATATAATACCAATGACTCAATTATGACTCAAGTAATCTCAAGTAAGTGATCTGTAATTGATGTGAAAATAATAGAAGATGATAGAAAATGCGTGTTTGATCGTGTTTGTAACTTCATACGATATATACAATAACATTTCGTTGCTGGGTTCAAAACGTTACCAAGATTTCGATTCACACATACTCATACACATTTGAACCCCAGATAACCCCAGTAATTCTAATCATAGCAAGGGATCAAGGGGGAACCATTCCAAAATAGGAAGGCTTTTGAAGACTTTAAATTTTCAACGTCTCAACTGATTTGATAATTCACACACAGTCCAGGGATTCCAGGGTCTAGAGATGCAGAAATGTCTCGGGCCAGACATCTCACCAGGGCAGAAATGTCTTAGGATGTCGGGGCAGAAATGTCTCGGGATGTCAGGTCTCAAGACCAATTTGGAGTTTGCACGCACATCCTGTTGATAATTCACACAGATTCAGACAGCATTTGTTTACTTGGTTTATTAGTTCAGGCAGGGGTTCTTCATTGCCAGCCAACATCCTGTAATTAGGTGACCCACCGCATCCCATCGCCCTTGCCAGGTCGCCAATTGCTGAGTAGAGTCACCCTTTTACAGTTGCACCGCAGTGTGAAACGCCGTGGTTTCTGAAAAAGATGCGCAATCTCCAATGCCATGTCAAGATTTGCTAATAACTTGCTCCTTCGACAAACCCGAAAAGTATATTGGGGGGGCGAAATGGTGGCTTAGTAATTGGTTATTTTTTTTTATTATGTTATAATATATTAGAATATATTATATTATGTTATATTATATTATATTGTATTCTATTCTTTTCTTTTCTATTATATTATATTATATCATATTATATTATATTTTAGTGTTATATATTAAATTATATGAAAAATAAAATATATCATATTATATTTTATTTTATTTTATTTTATGTTTTTATTGTAGTATATTTTATCATATGTTATTGTATTATATTTTATTTTTTTGTTATTGTAATTATTTTATATTATATTTTTGTAATTTTAGCTTATTACATTGGATTATATTATATTATATTATATTATTTTTATATTGTATCATACTATATTTTATTATATTATATTATATTTTATTATATTGTATTATACTGTTCTATTTTATATGATATGACATGATATGATATTTTATATTTTATTATATGTTTTTATTCTATATGATATGATATTTGAATTATATCATATTATACTTTATTATATTACAGTATATAACATTATATATTGTATTTTTTTGTATTATATTAAATGTTATTTTGTTATATTATATTTTATTATATTGTATTATGTTATATTATATTTCATTTTATTATATTACATTGTATTACCTTTTATTATATTATATTATATTATATTAGCCAGAATTATCATGATCATCATATTAAACAATTTCAACATTTGATTATAGTTGTGACTCCACAGGATGATCTCAGTTGACCACGCGGTTGTGTTGGTGATGCGACCAATGGCCAGTCAAACCATTATAATCCAAGTTTATGAACTTAAACAAATGTTTTTTTCTAAATGTGATTCCGGGCAACATGAAACTTGCGAGACTCTCAGTGCGTTTTTTTTTTGGATGTGTGTTACGCTTTGCGGGCAGACGCATCATAAAACCTCTCAATTTCGCAGGATTTGACCGCAAGCTTCCAGTACTACGACCGAGATGGAAGCCGTCCTGCTATGTTTGAAACGGCCATTTCTTGGAAGTTCCCACAGATGGCGAGATGAACTAAGAATCTCAACCACATACAATGCGAGACCTCAAACAAACTCCGGTATAAAGGCCCTTATTGTTCGTTTGTGTGTTTGTTCCCAAGACATGGAAATATACCGCACAATACTGCATAATATTGAATGCCAAGCTATAGATATGGGTCTGTTCGGAAATTAGGGACCCCGAATTTCTTATTGTTCGTGGTTTATTCCAGAATGAAAAGTGTTGACACACAAGTTTAAAGGTTGCCAAGTATTTTTTTGACGCTGACATGGAGGTACCGCTTGACAAGACTACCCTGCATGGTTTGCGAATGCATGTTCATGACACGTGCATCGATGAAACTGGAATTTTGGATGAATTTGAACACAGTTTGGACAGGTTGGCAGGGTCAAACGTTTGCTACAACAGTTTTCTAGTCAGAAAGTTGATCGCAAATCATTGCCCCTTCTAAAATGCCTTCCATGTTAACAACTTCTCCATCCCTTTCGGATAGCAACCGTTACTTGTTCGTTTTCTTGGACTTGGCGGAAACCATCAACCAGCTATAAGTATGTGTTGAAAAATCAGGGAAAGGAACCACAAAAATGTGAAGCTCACCGGGATTCGCTGGAAGGTTAAGGGAAAAAAATCGAACAAGTGTCCTTTTACCATGGCCAAAAGCCATGGCTTTCAACATGGTTTCCGGGGAGTTCCGGGGAAAAACGCTGTCAACTGATTTGGTCTAACCAGGTGGGCAGCTGAGTATGCAGGAGATCTATGGAATCCTGGAGGACAGAACACTGAATCTGTTGGATCACGGTTCAAGGAGAGTGGGGAGATCAAGCTGCACTTAAATGGAAGTATAGAAGGGGCCTGCACGACGGTTTTTTTATGGTTAGGCTGGGACTAGACTAGCTTCATACAACAGTGTTTGATTTTTTCCAATACCCGGATGAACAGGCCGCTGCCCGATTTGGTTTGAAGCACTGCCAGCATCACCTGTGAGAAATTCGGAATGATACCGGGTTCTTCAAAAAAACAGCCATCAACCAAAAGTTGCAACATCCACCGAAAGCCCCCGGACCCCCTGTCTCAATGTTGCTAACCATCGCTTCTCAATGGCCGGAGCAAGAATGGCTGTTTTTTTTGAAGGCTCCGCGAAGCACTGCTGTCACACAACATTGAAATTGGGGTCAAGGGGTGTCTAACTCTCCTCGCCAGACTTCAAGTTGGTTGGCTGTTTTTTTTGAAGAACCCGGACTACGTCCGGGGAGTGATTTTTAGACTTGGGGATGTCCACCTGTTAATTCGGGCAAATGTCATGTTGTACTTCCCGACAACTTTTGCATGCAGATGTGGCCTCATCAAAGTGCCGCCCGCAACGCAATATAATATAATGTCCATGTGTGAACTCGGGCAAGTGTCATGTTGTATTTCCGACAACTTCTGCACACAGATGCGCCCTCATCAACATTGCCGCCCGCGATGCAACAAGCAGCGGTGCAACATCCTGCAACTCTCTGTTAAGGCAATGCTGTACCGACCGAGCGCTTGCATCAATCACACATTCTGCTGACAACGTAAGAAATAGCATTGGTCTGTTTGGCAAAATGCAGATTTGGCAGCCAAGGCGGTGAAATTCCTGCCCTGGGGTACCACTGGCCAGCGATCATTGACTTGCCTGTGAATTCCCATGCAACGCACATGCAACACACGTGCAACACACGTGCAACACGACGTGCAACACGAGCACTTTTACTGTAAATTTACAGGTAAAATCGTGTTTTTTTGCCGTTGCAGGCCGACCTTCGCTTTCAAATGGAAACAAAGAAGCTTTGTAGCAGGCGGACGAGAAAAGGCAATCTTACCTGCAAATTTACAGTGAAAGTGCTCGTGTTGCACGTTGTGTTGCACGTGTGTTGCACGTGTGTTGCACGTGTGTTGCACGTGCGTTGCATGGAAATTCACAGGGAAATCAATGTTGGCCGGCAGCGGCCTTGATGACTGTAGGCTTCTGGCAAGCACAGCCGGGCTTGGTCCACAGGCAATGTGTGGCGGTGCTGCTTCCTGAGTCGCGGGCAGCAATTTTGATGAGGTCACATCTGCATGCAGAAGTTGTCTAAGTACAACATGCCACTTGCCCGCGTTTACACGTGGACATCCCATTGCGTTGTGGGCGGCACTTTGATGAGGTCACATCTGCATGCAAAAGTTGTTGGAAGTACAACATG